TCAGAGCGGTAATGAACTCATCAGCAGGGATCCACTTCATCATAGATAACGAGGGGTACATTCGGAAGCTCTCGCAAGGTTGGTTCAGTGATCTCAGATGCATCAGTAAATACGCACCCTACTAAATAGTTTTGAGTTCAGTAATAATGTTTAAGCACTGAGATAATGGTAAACACCTTTTCCCTATATTATCTAGTATGGGTGGATCAGTCATAACCCACATGATGAAGGTGCTCTCTGTGACTCACTCTGCTAAGCTGAACCTTCCTGTTATGCACTGAGCTGTGTATATATACATGCTCATGCAAAACTGTTTATACCCCCTGAAAATGTCCAAATTTCATTACATTAAAACCACAAACTTTACTAGATTTTACAGAATTTTCATAAAATATGTTCATTTCACATTGCACATATTTGTTAGACAGAATAAAATAATACCTGTCTTTATATATCTTTTGAAAATGTCCGTCTATACTCTGAATATCCAAGTTACTGTTTAAGTTTTTACAAAAAAACTCAGAGACAACTGAACCCCTAAAAAGATCTGTGTGCATTTGTAATGAGAAACTTTGAGCATCTAATTCAGGAATTCTACTTATTGAGATGTTCCTCTTTTTTAATGCATGGCTTAGGTTCAGTCCACTTAGACAAACAGCTTTGTTCAAAATAATAATAATAATCCAATGTATCTCAGACTGTATCCTTGATGTTTATGTCCACCTCCAGGCCAGTCTCAGTCTTTGTGATATGCTCACCTAAAGCCATTGTGCGTGATTCTTCCTTGCTACTTTTTATTTTGCATGCGCCTTTCTAGTGTTTATATATCCAGTGAGCTATCCAATTCACATCGCTCCACTACTCCGACTGTAAATTGAAGACATGGGGTCAGACTATGAACAGAATAATAATGTACCTATCAATATTGTAGCTGTTTAAGAAAAGCTGCTCAAGAAAAACACTCCCACAGCATTATGCTACCACCACCATGTTTCACCATGGTGACAGTGTGAGGTTATCTTCCTGTCTATCATAGCATTTTGCATTAACTTCAATTATGGCATCATGTGACCAGATGCCTTCCTTTCCTAGTTATATTTTCAAATAATGGCTTAAGCACTTCTCCATAAGATGTCCAAAGCTTGATATTATGTTTTTTATGATGCCTTTATTTAGACTTCTTCACTCACCTCCGCTGTGTTTGTCGGTCTCAGCCGTTAGTCCTCTAACGTTGTCTAGCAACACTCAACGGATTTCACACTAAACCTGCTCTTTTACAGTAAAGAAATGAAAACTCAGTTTACTTACATATTAAGTGACTTCTGAAGGCTTTTAGTTCTGCTATTTTTTTTATTCGGTTGTATTAGAATATTTTTTTTATTGCCAAAAGTAGCATCTAACTTTTGCACTCTAAAATACTGACATTTAGGGTAAAAAAGCATTATATAACGCATTTTGTCAATACATCTTTAGAGTACTGAATATTGGATTTTTTTGTTGTTGTTGCAGTAGAGGCACTAAAGCCAAAGTTCAACTCAAGTAATCTAAGAGATAACAGGGCAAAGCATCCGGTTTGGATATAGACAAGAATTGGGCTTAGAGACAGGGAAAAAAAAGATTTAACCGAAGTGAGGACCTTTACTTTAATACATATTACAATATTCTACAGCCTTGGACACCTCGAACATCATGGTGAAGAAGCAGGTGTTTGAGCTCCTCGCAGCTCTCAGCATCTTCTCTGCAGAAGGACACCGTCTGGCCCTGGATGCTCTGGATCATTACAAGGCAGGAAGATAGAAACGTTTACTACATTTTCACCTGCTTTTAGAGCATGCACTAAATGATGTCATAAAAGCGTTTCTCATTATCTCCATTTCTTCCTCTCCAGGGCTTGAAGACACAACAGTATCGCTTCAGTGTCATCATGAACGAGCTGCAGGCCACAGACAATGTCCCGTACATGGTCACACTCCTCAGTGTCATCAACGCGCTCATCTTCAGTACAGATGACCTGAGACGGAGAGACAGAATCAGAAAAGAGTTCATTGGTAAGTTCTCCATCTGGGAGCAAGATGATGCCCTTATTTATCCGTCTGCAGTAGGTGAACGCAGATCAGTAGCTTTAGCTTTGTAACACATTTCTTTGTCACTAGGTCTCGCCTAAGAATAGGTCCAATGGCCTAATTCTCACACAAAACGCCTGAGAACTAAGTGTGTGCAACATTGTGTTTTCACAAGTTTAGCAGCACAGCCAGTGACTGAGAAACTGTCAGCAGACTTTGATGGATCAAACTAAATTAAGGTTTTAATCGTTTCTTAGACAGTAAGTTCCTTCTGGAAATTTGAGCCCTAAGAAACACACAGCCCCCATAAATCAGTGTGGCAGACAAGAGAGCTGCAGCTAAGTAAACGCCTCATCTCCCACCACCTTAAAGCAATTAGCCAGCTGATTGACCCCTCCTACTTAGAGATTGCTTACCTGAGACAACCTGAAGCTGAACCTGAGCAAACAAACACTATATGATGAGCGATCCTCAAAATAAACATTTCCAAAACTAACTGAATGCTGATAATTGGATCTGTATTTTTTAAATATTTTTGATTTTGCAGGGCTCCAGTTACTTGACATCCTGCCACAATTAAGGTAAGCCTGCAGTTTATTTTCTTAAAATGGTTAGCACCCTGCTGCTACAAGTTGGTCTGCATGTAATGGTTCACAGAAAAATCAAATAAAGGCCTAATTATTTGCAGATAATTAAGAACAAATGAAGTGGGGGGCTAGCGAGGCACTAAGTACCTGCAGACAGGAAGACAGTTCAAGCATAATCACCTCTGCTGCATGAGAAATGTCTCAACCGTATCAGACTGCAGTCTGCTTAGGGGTGGGAAATAGGATTGTTGGTTTCCAAGATGAGTATGGAAACATTTGTTCTGATTTTGTTTCCTATCCCATTGTCTAAAATGTTTTTTCCTTTCATCCTGGCTCCCCGTGTTCCTTATTTCCATCGGCTTGTGCCTTCATTTGATTCCTGCCACAAACATTTCCTGCCTCTTATTTTCTTTTTACTTCTATCCTCTATTTACTATTCCCCACCTCCATGGTCTTTATTGTGGGTGTCTGTTGCATATTTAAAGCATGGCTACTGTAAAAAAAAATTACATTTGGAACCAATTGTGTTTTCTTCACTTTAGCATCCAGAGCTTGGATCTGGGATGGACAGTAAAACTAAAATTACACACATCTCTTTTAAGCTAAAAAAAAAAGAAAAACAAGACTTTCAAGATGGCCAGATCAGCTGCTGTAAGCAAAGCAAGCAGATGAAAATTTAAACAACTGAGATAATAAAAAAATGTAGATTTTATAATTTCAGTCACCTTTCTGTAAGTTTCAGCCTATGTCCTAAGTATGTCCTAAAGCTGCATCGTTTTACCTATCATACAGCAGCATCAAGTTAAGATTTTAGGTCTTGAATTTAACGTAATTTAACGAAACATTGTGAAGCCTTTTTTTCTATTTTAATTCTTTCAGTACCTGTGGTACTTGGTAAAATCGAGTACAATACGGTGTAGTTTTAGAATTGTGTTTTATGAGTTTTTAAACCATAAAAATCCTGGAAATAAACCTGTACTTTAAAATATTGATGTTTTAACTTAAAGGTCAAAACATTTATTTCGAGCTTGAACATAAAGGATTTCATTCTGTATTTTTATATTTGGCGTCCAGGGAGCAAGAGGATGAAGACTTGATTATTCAATGTGAAGCTTTTGAAGAAGCAATGGCTGAGGATGAGGAAGAGCTGCTGCAACTGTACGGAGGCATTGATATGAGTAATCATCAGGAAGTCTTCACCGCACTGTTCAACAAGGTGAGAGCAGAACGGAGATGGAATGATCCAGATAAGTAGGAACGGAATAAGTATTTAGAAAATGGCTTCAGTTTCCTTCAGATCAGAACAGCACTCCAATCCTTATGGCTGCTGCTTTCTGGCTCTGAAGCCTAAAACAAAAATTTTCTTAAGGGCCATAAACAAAAATGATCAGCACTGTATCCTGACACTTAATGGTTAATAAGGTTTTCAGATATATATCATAAAAACTTTGATCCCAAATCATTTTACCCTAGGATTTTATCTTTCTTTTCATTTTGGGGGGTTTTGTCATCCATAATGACATTTTGGATTGTTTTATAGTATTTTCTGATATCTAGAAAATGAATAAAGTAATGATGAGATATTTGCTTCAGAAACATTATGCCATTTTTTTTTTGCTTATTTTTGATGTCCTAGTGGAAAATATTTAAACTCCTTCAGTAGCTCCATGTTTTGGACCAGTTTATCCTTTTGTGTGTGACTTTTTTTTATGTTACAGAGGGGTAGCCAGATGGTGTATTAAAATACTAGTTGTAAATCTCATTTGTGCTGAAGCGGCTGTTGGATATTAAACTCCTGTTCTTGGAAACGTTTTTGGAACTTCTTAAAGGCTCCCAAAGTGCAAATCCTCTTAGAAAATGCAAACTCTGGTCTGAGATTTGTACAATAAATGGCAAAGAAATAAAAGCGACATACTGAGGAAATGAACACATTTAAAAAAAAAAAATTCTGACTGAGACGAATGTTGCTTTTATCTTAGATAATTTCAGTATTGCAAGAAAATGTAATTAAATAAAATATTTATAATGGCATCAGCATATTATTAATCAAAAGGATACTTATGCAAGGGAAGCATGAATAGCTTATGTATTTAATCAGACTTATTGTGTCCTTTTTCATTTTTATATAGAAACAAATTAAAAGGAACAAATCATTTGAAATAAAGTGCAATCATTTGAAGCTAAATGACATAACAGGATAGTTGCTGTTATTATATTTTCGAAATAAAACATGCAGAAGAGTTAAAGTCAGCCTTTAAAATGATGCTCTTTTCCACAGTGGGGTGGCTGAGTTACAGGTTTAGCAGATTTATTTGTGAGGATTTTCTGCTGAATATCTGTGTGCAGGTGAGCAGCTCTCCAGCCTCTCTGCAGCTGCTTTCCATCCTGCAGAATATGCTGTTGCTCGGACCAGGCCGAACCGATATCTGGCTGGCTCTGGAGTCCATCAACGATAGAGCCATGCTCCTCGCTCAGGACTGTGAGTCAGCACTGCAACAACAACAAGCATTCACTTAGGACAACACTCAGAGAAGACTAATAGCATGATTAATGTGCGAAGGCGAGCGATTATCCGGGAAGATGGATTAAAGTGCACCATTAAAACGAGCCTGAAAGCTTTGTTGTAGTGTGAGAAATCCTTTAAATTTCATCAATGACTGTTGGATTTGTGCTCCAGCTCAGATGGAGTCCTGTGAGAAGATCATGCAGCGGCTGATGCTTTTCAAGGGGTGGAGCTCTGAAGGTCATCATGAGGTAGATGGTCTTGTTCTGAAAGTGGACAAAGCTGTTCAGACCGGTCTGGATGAGGACGACGGAGACAAGCCAGGCATGAACGCAACGTCCTCCAAGAACCCTCCATGTGCTTCTCCTCCTCCTCCTCCACCACCACTACCTGGCGGGCTTGGTGGACCTCCTCCTCCAATGCCTGGAATGCCTCCACCCCCTCCACCTCTACCTTGTGCTTCAGGCATGCCTCCCCCTCCACCACCATTACCAGGAATGGGTGGTGCCCCACCACCACCTCCTCCATTACCTGGGATGCCTCCTCCCCCCCCTGGCATGATAGTGCCACAGACTAGCCAGATCCTGGGGTCCGCTACATCAGCAAAGCCGGGCAGATTTCCCACGCTGAAGATGAAGAAGCTCAACTGGCAGAAACTTCGCTCGGTCACAGGCAAGTTGTCCTTCACATTCTTATGGGGCTGAAATGGATTTGGATCAGGATGAAATGCAAACAGTTTCTAAAATATTAACAAAGATTAAAGATGGTGAAACAAAAAGCTCCCTCCAATGACAATGGAGGGGTATTTTGGGAATAAAATCTCCTTTTTAAGGTGAAAACGGTCGATGAACTTAAACTAAACAACATAATGGTTGGAAACCACATCACAGTCGCAGATGGATGAAGATTATTGGTTTGAAAGCAGAATAATAAGGACAAGTGTAGAGATTAGATTTTTGTCTTGGGCCCATTTATGATCTTGGATATCTTGGTCACAGAGTCTCTATGCTGATGTTGAAGAACTGAATAAGATTCTATATTATTATTATACATAGTGCTTGAAAGGTTGTCCATGCTTACCCCTCTCTATAAAGCACTAACGATGATCATGTTGGATGCCATGTGTATCATTTACCTGGGAAAACACAGCAGCCTGATGCACTTAGTGAAGGAGGTAAACGAACAGAGGGCATCTAAGAGTTCCTGCAATCCTGCTATATATCCCTTTCAGGTGAAATTACTCCTTAATGGCTACGGCCTCTCATACTTATTGTTTCCTCTATGGCTTGAGGAGGACCACAATACGTTTTTTTACATTTCAGTCTGGCCTCTTAAATTCCCCAGGACCGAATCCCTTTCGAGCGTTTCTTCGATCTTCTAACCAAATTAGTCGGATCAATGGAGGCTTTACTGCGCAATCTTTAAAGATCCGCTGCTTACAGACTCCACTGGACTCTTCAGGAGTTTAGTGAAGTCTGCCTCAACTTGCCAGACGAGCAGAGAGGGAACATGCAAACTTTTATGCAGGACGTCATGCCTAATATGTTTATCTAAAACCCGTTCCATCGTGCCTGAGACTTCAGGGAAATCAGAAAAACGATCTTCATTCCTCGTTTTGTAAATGATTTAGAAGCGTTTTCCCACAGGCTTGTCTTGCATTAGTAATATGCTGCTGGGAGGTTGTTGTTTTTTTTTCTTGTTTTTTTTTTTTTCCTCTTCAGGGTACGCCATTAGTGTTTCAGCAAAGCAAATGGTTCCATTTATTCCATAGTTTTCAATGCTGCTACTCTAAAAGGATCTGTAAAGCTTTGGTATATCTGCTCGTAACTTATATCAATTAAAGAATAAGTATTTAACTTTTTTCTGAAGGTTGCATTTCACAAACCTGTTTTTGACACAAAATGAATCCTACAATCTTAAATTGGGTGCCCTTTTTTTTCCCTTCTCCCATGAGACTAGATGGTCAATCCATGTGGGCGTCGGTTCAGAAAGAACCACCTCCTCATGAGCCAGATTACAGCAGCATCGAGGAGCTCTTCTGTCTGCCTAGAACTGATCTCAAAGACAAGGCAGCACCTACTCCTGTGAAGAAGGAACCTAAAGAGGTAAATTCCTAAAAAAAAAAAAAAATGTAATACTTTAAATAAAATGCATATCAACAATAGTAAACATTTTTTTGTCCCTATGGTTTATTTTAGATAACATTCATCGATCCAAAGAAAAATTTGAATATGAACATTTTCCTGAAGCAGTTTAAATGGTGAGACTTTACTCCCCTTCTTTTCAAACCTTCAAATGTGCCCAGCTATATGTAGCTCTGTTATGCTTTCTCAGCACAAACGAAGAGTTTGCAGCCATGATCCAGAGTGGAGACCGAAGCAGGTTTGATGTGGAGTCGCTGAAACAGCTTATGAAGCTCCTACCAGAGAGACATGAGGTTTGTTACACCTTTCACTCAAAAACCTCCATCACACCAATCTACTAACTCATGACCTACGTTTGAAGTTTTATTGCTTGTGTATTTTTGGTGTAGATTGAGAATTTGAAGTCCTTCCAAGGAGAAAAAGACAAGCTGGCGAATGTTGATCGCTTTTACACCTCCCTGCTTAATATACCATGGTAATGCTTGGCTTTTTTTCAAGATGTACTCTACATTTTTAGCTTGCCTCAGCTCCGTGTCGCACTTTTTCAGCTGTATGCCTTTGCATCTTTATAGATGATCTCATTGAAAGAGGATTGTTCAACAATCCAATTCAGGAAGTTGTTTATTGCATTCAGGGATCTTTAAAATGTTCATTACATGTCTTTGCCTGAAAGCTGATAAACGTAAAACTTAAGTTTATCTGGATATTGGAATGCTTCCCCCTAAGATTGATTTACTTATTAAAGAAATGTTGCAAAATGTCCAGGTGCTGCACAGTAGGACTCAGTGCTTGGTCAGAGTGAGATATTTTGTTCTTTTTTGGAGAAAAGGAATGCTTAAATCATTCCAGATCCAAAATATAAACATTTCAAGCTTTTGCATTGCCTTAAAAGGCATCCAGTTTGCAAATACTTCTGAAATGGTCGGGGGGGTAAGCTTTGGCGCTAGTAAAAGGATTATGGTCCTTCTTTTTTTACAGTGCAGCTTGAGTAAGAGCAAATGTAGCATTTGATATAAATGTTATTTAAATGTGAAAAATTGTCCCGCAATGAGGAAATTCACTCTCTGCATTTGACCCATCCCCTTTGGGTGCAGTTGGCTGCCACTGTGTGGCGCCTGGGGAGCAGTGTTTTGCTCAGGAACCCAGAGTACAGGCTGTTGGGATCGAACTGGGTACTTGCATTCTTCTCAGAGCACAAGCGCACAGCTCTAACCACTAGGCCAACACTCCCCGATAAGACAAATACCGGCGTTTTATTTTTTGTTTTGTTTTTTTTAATCTGTAATAATTTAACCCTAGTTGAAAATAAACTCTCCATCTGCATCAATCACCTGAGTGGCAGGCTCAGTCTTATCACTTTTGATTGCAGTAAGAGGCTGCTCAAAATCAGTCCAGGGATGCTAAATGGTCCCCAGGTTCCATTTTGCACACCCCTGGTGTAGACCATAAACCTTATTAAAAATCCTTTCTTTTTTTTTTACAATTGCAGTTATGTAATCAAATTGTCAGACACCTACAATTGTGGGTTTTCATCAGCTGCTAGACATAATGACGAGAGATTCCCTTTTTTAATTCAGTTACTTCAGTACATTAAGTTTTTAATAATAATAGAATTAAAATTTGAGATGCATGGGTTAACTTTTTCTTTGCTTACATCCTCAGTTATCAGCTTAGAATTGAATGCATGTTGCTATGCGAGGAGACTGCATCGCTGCTGGAGATGCTCAGACCTAAAGTGAAGCTGGTGGAGGAGGCCTGCCAGTGTGAGTAAACAATCTGCGCACATCATTGAGATTTGTCCAAAACACTTAAATGACCTGCTTTTTTTTTCTCCAGCTCTCAAGATTAGCACCCTATTGCCCAGTTTCTGCAGACTCATCCTCTGTGTTGGAAATTTTCTCAACTATGTAACAATCCCTCCTGTCTTATAAGCATACGATGATATTTAGTGTTGTGTGCATTTTTAATTGCTGATCTACTTTCAGGGAAGTCACACAGGGAATGCCGAGGGCTTTAAGATCAGCTCTCTGCTCAAGTTAACGGAGACAAAAGCCAACAAGAGCCGCATCACACTGCTCCATCACATCCTGGAGGTATCTGATCAGGCTAACTGTTGTCCAGATTTGTTTCCTCCTTCATCAATCATACACATGTTTAATTACCCACTTTGTGTCTTGTTTTTCCAAAGGAGGCAGAAGTGAAACACCAGGAGCTGCTGGCTCTGCCAGATGACATAGAGATATGTCAGAAAGCAGCAGGGTATGGGCATAATTAAAGGGCAGATCTCCTCTTTTCATGCACATTAAGGCATGCAATTGTACTGTGGTGACAAAATTCCATAAAAGCAGAACAAGACAGTTGAGTGTGCAGCTAAAGGTTTCAAACGATTGGCATTCCCGTTGGGATGCAAATCTTATCCGTTAATGCCTTATGTGACAGTTACCAGAGTAAATGTATATATTTATATTGGTGTGTATATGCGTGTCTCTGTTTTTGGTATATAAAAAAAAAAAAGAAATTCCCTATGGAATTTAATTTGAAACTTTAATATTTACAAGCTTTGTTTCTATAGAGAATGAGAGAATGGTGCAGGGTCTTTATTCATCACATCATTCTCTTAATTGCTTCCAAGTTCTGTATGAGAGCTAAAACAAAGCACTTTGTTCATAGGGTCAATTTGGACTCTATGCAGTCGGAAACTGGTCTTTTGCTTAAACAGCTTAATGACGCTGCCAAGAAAGTGTCCAACTCTGTGGATGAGGTGAAGGAGCAATACTCAAAAATCCTTGAGGTAAGAAATCCAAAGCCAAAATTGTCGACTTCTTGCCTTCCCTTTTTTTTTTATCCAGCAGCTGGATCACATCCTAATGGGTCAGCTTGCTCTTCACTGCAGGAAAACCTAAAGGCATGCCAAGCTTTAAATGAGAGATTTGAAGAGCTCGGGAGGCAGAGGAGCGACCTGGCTGTCTACTTGTGCGAAGATGCGAGTCAGCTGTCGCTGGAGGAGCTCTTCGGAACCATCAAAACTTTCAGAGAACTTTTTCTTAAAGCACTTAAGGTGAGGGAGAAAAAAATTCGACCTCAATCTCCTGTACTCTAAATGATAATGGGATTAATGGTTTAAAAGAAATTAGTGTGTACTGGATTCTGCTTGGTTGATGCTGACTTGCATGTGTGGGAGTTTATTGAATATATGTATCCATTGAAAAGAGTGAATGAAGGCTGCTATTGTTTCTGTCTAAATGATACAAGGGCAAATTGCAGAGTATTCTTGGTATTCGTCAGTGATGGTGACGTTCATTCTGTCATGATCAAAGGAAAACAAAATGAGGAAAGAACAAGTAGCGAAGGCTGAGAAGAGAAAGAAGCAGCTGGCAGATGAAGAATCCAAGAGACAGAGGGGAGTGAACGGAAAAATAAGTAAGTTCTGCACTGGGAATCTGATAACCCAAAAGTGAAAGGTTTTGTTTTTTTTCCCTCCTGCTCTTAAAGGGTCTGTGTATAAGAAATCTGGCTTTTATTATAAAAATCTAGTATTGCATTAAACTAGAATAAAATTCAACTTTATTGTCCTTCTACTGTCACAAGTACAGAGCAATGAAATTAATTCTCTGCATTTAACCCATCCCCTTGGGGAGCAGTTGGCTGCCATTGTGCGGCGCCGGGGAGCAATGTGGGGTTAAGGGTCTTGCTCAGGGGCCCAGAGTGGCAGTCTGTGAGAGTCGGGGAACTCCCAACCTCAGGATTCATTAATTAATACATACCTACATCTGGAAATGTGTTGTTGGTGGCCAAAGACTTACAACAAGCAAAAAAAAGCAATTTTGATAATTTTTTTTCTTCCACTTTCTGTAGCGATGAAGGAAAATCAGTACTTTATGTTGAGCTGTCCAACAACAGCCTAACTTATGCATAACGCATGGCAGGGTAGTGCCCATGAAATGTCACAAGGCAGTGTCCTGAGGGGGGCAGCAATGCTCCCGGAGGTGCCGGGTCTGCATAAAAAGGTTCCATTGATTTAACTTGGCTGCTGTATACCACCCGACAAAAAATAAATAAAAAGTGAAAGAATGTTTGCAGTCGCAGCAGATTCAGTATCATGTCAGCTACGAAGTTTGTTGGTCATGGGCGTGAACAAAGGGAGGGACTCTCACACTCACCTTCTCACTCACCCTATGATGAGGATGAAGTCTGGAGGAGAGCTGACTGTGAACCCCCTTTTTATACCAAAACTCTGCCAATATGCCATTTAGGGTTGTCAAAAGTATCGATACTCAAAAAAGTATTGATACTGAAACGTTGTATCCGGATACTGTTACAGTGAGAAGGATTTGTCCCCTTGGAAGTAAAGGCTGTAGCGCCCCGGGGCCTCCTCACACGGTTCTTTTCCTGGGAGCAAGTTAGTTACTACTCTTAACTCAAACTGGGTAAAACCATATAAAAAGGACTATAAAAACAGGAGTAAAAAAGTAACAGAGTTTATTCCAGATCAGGTGTTACAGGACAGAGAAAAATGCTTCGAGCTATGCACAGCTGTGGTCTCAAAAATCACATCCGCAAGCGTCCGGCAAAGTTTGAGCCCCGAACGTCATCTCCTGCTTCTTATACCTTCTGAGTCTGTCTTGCATCATGTGGATGCTTAGCTGTCCGTATCAGAAACTGACACGCCATCCATGTCTTGAACTCCATGCAGGTTGCCTCTCTGTCTCAGGGTTACAGATACAGCAGCTCTCCTATCAGAGCGGCTCCAAGATGTGCCCATATTCTGTGTACTCTTAGAGACACGAAGGCTGTCTTGATTAGATGACCTCCGTACACACCACGACATCCACAATGTGAAGGAAGGCCTTCTGCTCTGTCTAATCTGACTAACAAATTAACAGTGCACATGATGTATAAATAATAAAACCTAACAATACAATACTCGTTTTTAAAAGTATTGATACAGTGCCACCACCAGTGGCACCTAAACAGTCATTCATCTAAAGTGCAGAATAGAGGAAAATGCACTTTCAGAACACTGTATGATCGAATAATTCTGTGCACTTTTCAGTTTCAGACTTTTTTTTTTTTTTTTTTTTTTTTTTTTTTTTTTTTGTAAGAGGTGCAGCTGCTGAGAATTATTTTTGTTTCTTAACTGGTTTGGCTAGTGTCGTTATGTGTGCAAAGCATAGCCAAGGAAGGAACACTTAATTTTAATTTTATACGTTTTTTATCAAGCCTGCTTTATATTGTGCACAGCATACAACCTCAAAATATTGTTCTTACTGTTAATTGAATTTATTTATTGTATTTTATTTATTAATGAAAATATTTCTGTAGAATATTGGAGTCTTTGTTTTTATCCTTGTGGTATCGAAAATGGTATTGAGTATCGAATATTTTCCTTAGTATCGGTATCGAGTTGAAAAGTTTAGTATCGTGACAACCCTAATACCATTATACAGTAGCTGTACGTTGGAAACGTGTTAAATAAGTTGATATGCGTTGGAGATAAGTTCTTTATAAGTTAAATATAAGTTATGCACATGTTACTCATAGGTTTTGGATAAGCTAGACATCACGACTTATGAGCAAATTACACTTAAGGTATGTCAACGATCAGATAACTTACCTGTAACTTATGGCCCACATCTGGAATACCCTGGCAAGTATGTCGTACTCACCGATGTACTTGCCATATGTCAACATGTTTCAGCGTACTTCAGCATGCTCATAACTTATCCAACGTATGTCAGCATTTTTGCCAGATTTTCGTCAGGTTAAGTCAGGCTAAATCATCAAGGTGTGACTGGGGCTTAAGAAGGTTGACTGCTTTTGCTTAGAGGCAAGATACCTCATCTTAAAACAAACAAAAAAAAAATCTTCACCAGACCTACTTTGAACTAATGAGGTGAAAAGTAAAACATGAACATTTTCAGTGAAGGTAATGTCTGTAAGCTGCCCCTGTTCAATGACCTGACCTTATTGTTTTTCTGTACAGCTCTTTGTCAAGATTCTAGCTGGGAAATGCATTTAATACACTTAGTTATGTGTAACATAATTAATCATGAGTAAATGCTGACATGTGCTCATTTTCTTTGTGATTGTGCCAAACATGTGTTCCAGTACTCCTGTTTCATGCAGCAGATTAATGGAAATTTAGTTTTGCAACGTTCCCTTTTTGTTTGATCCTGCTCTAAAATGTAGACATGCAGACTGGGATCAGCCAGCATTGTGCTTTGTGTTGATTGACATTCTGAAAGGAAGAAAATATTCCATTCCAATGTTCCATTGAAGTCTTTTTGGGGCATGTTTTTTCAGGTGAAACACACTATTAAATTGCTGAAGGATTTGCATGATTAGGCGCATGTAGTCAATTTATAAATGCTACTTAAATAGCATGTACATTTTTTCTTTTATTTGATCTTAAAAGATTTCCAATTACAAACATTTAGTTCTGCATCTTTTTATTTTGGTTGAAATGGTATTACAAAGTAATCGTGGAGAAACTAATGTGTTTCTGTTCCTACTGTCTTTTTGTCCTGCAGTAAAAAAAGGCATCATGCCACAAAACGATGGCTGCATCATTGACCATCTCTTGGCGGACATTAGGAAAGGTTTCAGCCTGAGAAAGACCCGGCCAAGGTGCGATTCGGAAAGCCTCTCCCGTAGTGAATTGCATAGAGATGCCTGCCCACCTGGTAAGGAAAAGAGGTGGTGGTCTCCATCCTCAGCTCCTTGCTCCACCCCTGATCGCCCCCTGCAGACCACCAACCTGTCTTATTTGTGCTTCTGTGCCCAGCGCCTTCATCTGGCTAAGCTAGCGTTGCTGCAGCTGCTCTGTAAAGCTACTGTGGAGTCTCTTCACTTAATGAGCTTGTTGTCATGCCTGCTGTGTCCTCTTGCTTATTGCAACACACTCATAATGGACAGTCGTTAAGCTAATATGCACCACTCTGAGGTTTAAATGATCTCATCAGCATGGATGTCCTTACATTTTAACTTTTAATGAAGTATTTGAACCAATTTGCTTTTTTTAAGTTGTAAAATGAATGAAAATATTCAATTACAGTTGGACACATTTAAATTTAATGTGAATTTCCCAAAATTCTCAAGGGCTTCTAATTATACATGCAAGTTAAAATGTATAAATGCATCCACTGTAATATATAGTAGGCTTTCAAGATGGCATCCTGGAAAACGGGCAAAGAGAGAGGGAATAGGAACTATAATCAAATTCCTTTTGTGTGAACCAACAAGAAGCTGAATCATGTTCTATAGAATAGAAAATCCATTTATTGTCCAAAAATGGGGAAATTCTGGTACCAAGATGCAAGGAACCTACATTTCATACAATTCAAACATACAATTCCAGCATCAACGAGCTTTAGTTACTAACCTGACTAGATGTTCGACTCCAGTGTAGTGCTTATTTAGTTTGGCTTGCTGCATAATTGTAGGTATTTTATGGCTTAATGTTGGCCTTTAGCCATTCAAAACAGTTTTGCTTTTCTATTTTCCCCAGTCTGTTGGAACACTTTAATTAATGATCTTGAAGTGAAAGTAACAGTTTAGAGGTAGGCTTCATCCTTAATTCCCTCATTTCCACTGGCAGCTAAACAGACCCATAAGCATAATCCTGCCACAGCAAAGTCTGACTGTAAAAACCGTGCTTTTAGGGTTCAAAGCTACAACTTCATGCCTAAGCTGTGCCAGATCGCTCAGGCTTTGCCTTAGCTTGCCTTAAATTTCTTATCTCCAATCTGGCTTGTCAATGTGAGGAGCTACAGATCTGAGTCATGCTTTAAAGGTTTAGAATAGAGGCTTTTATTGTTTGTTTGTTTTTTTTTTTTGCTCTGCACTCAATAAGTATTTTATACTCGCGTTGTACAGAGACACCAGTGCAGCTGTATTTTCCTGTTTGATGCAGTTGAACCGTGGTAATTTGAGGGTTTTCCTTTTAATATTCTATTTTTTTTCTATTTCATCTGCGGGTTCAGATGGTAGACACCTTTTGGTGTTCCACCATGATAAAAATGACTCATCAAAACTGGTTAAGAAATGGATAATGAACAGTGTTGGGCACGTTACTTTGAAAAAGTAATTAGTTATAGTTACTAGTTACTTCTCCCAAAAAGTAACTGAGTTACTAACTGAGTTACTCCACAATAAAAGTAACTAGTTAGTAGTAAAAGTAACTATTGCGTTACTTTTGCGTTTCTCGCCCCAGTAACCCTCACCACCCAGCCCCCACCTTCTCGCCGTGTGTTTCCAAAGCCAGCTGAATAGAGCGGATGACAAAGACAAGAACCTGCAGAGAGTTTAGCATTTATTGCAACTCGACGTAAATGACATCAGGGGGGAACGCCATGGGAAGTTTTTTAACAGGGCATTCAGATCTGGTGAAATTAATAACTGGGGATGTCTAATTCTGAAATCCTGTGTGTTTGGGTTGTTATAGATACTGCAATATCTATCTATCTGTATACTCTGCGTGTGACATGGATCTCATGGACATGGACAAAATATGGATCTCCATCCCTGCCACAAAGGCCATCAAATGTTTAAAATAAAAAATACAGTAGGTTGAAAAGGCAGAGCATCCATCCATCCATCCAGATTTCTGCCTTTGATTTGATCGTTCAGGCTCTCCATAGTTCTCCTGTGGCGCGAGCACAGGGCGACTGTTGCGCGCCTTTAGCGAGACTGCGCGTTTCCTGTCGCTTGCGCGGTGACTCGTGCCGCCTGCGCTGTGCGGAAATGCAGGGGAAACCGTATGTGCTTGGGAAACGCAGCTCGACGTAACACCGGTATTTCCATCAGGAAAACGCTGTTTTGCTGCTGGAGTCATCCTCACTCTCCATCTCTGTGTGTGCTGTACGTTAACACCCACTAGCAGAAACACCCACCTATTCAACTGACAGACGGAATCTCACTATACATCAGCCAATCTCATCCTCCCCTCTCTCATGACAAGGCGCGCACCTCTGGATGACCTAAAAAATAATCTTTAATATCTCTTAAACAAAAGTAGCACAAACAATATTTTTTTCTGCACAAATCTGCACTAAGGTTGCAATAACCATTCAGTCTATTTGCAGAGTTTTTTGACGTGGGGTGTCAGCTTCACGCAGCTGCGCACGAGTCCTATCATGAAAAAAGGTTCATTGTGCGACCTGAGTAACGCGCAGTAACGGGGTGTCTGCAATGGTAACTGCGTTATAGTTACAAAGTAATTAGTTAGATTACTCGTTACTAAAACAAGGTAACGGCGTTACTTTCAACGCCGTTAGTCCCATCACTGATAATGAAGGATAATTTTAAGATTGTGAACAGCCTGAACATCAACCAGGCCGAAAAGGTTTTGAAGGCCACATCAGTGAGGATGGGTCCAACCAGTGTTTTTTTTTTTTTTTTTCCCCCCCGACAGTGTTTAAGATGCAGCTACCCAAATGTAACTGGATTTCCTTAAGTCTGGATTTTAGTCTGTGTATAATTTTGAATCTCTGTGGATCAGAGAAAATCTATAATGTCCAAAAACATTTGAAAACTAAGTGATTTTTAGTCATCCCACCCAAAAGAAAAAAATAAAACAAGATGTATTATTAAAAGCCAAAATCTATTGACATTCATGCTTATGAGTGTCTGCAAACCTCTGCCAGGCCCTGTGTATCTCATCTTGCATCTCTTCTTTAGGTACAGGTGTGATGTCTGCCGACGAAGGAGTCGCATCCTCCACTCCCACCAAGCCTCAGACAGAGGATCTCCAGCGTCACGGAGGCGAAGTGAACGGCTTCATCAGCCCTTCAGAGGAGACTCCACCGCCTCCTCAGCTCAGTGCAGCCCAAGATGGGACAGCGCTGCCTCCCAACCAACCACCAGGAGAGGCAGCCATAACGACAGAGACTCCTCTGGAAAGGCCAGCATCTCTACAGGATGGTCAATGCTTAGGGAAACCCACACCACCTCAGGCTGAAGTTCAGCCCAGTCCTGACACGAACAGCTTTTCTCCTGATTCAACAGAGACTAGCGTCTTCAGTCCTTCATCCCTCTCTGATTCAGACCTGCTTGAGGCTGTACTGGACAGTGCTTCGAGTGTGGTCCCTGAGGTGTCGGAAGATTTAGATGTTAGCAAAAGCCTTAATACCAATAAAGGATCATCTGTTGCAGATACTAATGGGAAATGTAGTGAAGTCACTGAACATGATCTCAAAAAAAGCAGCTTATCAGGAGCAAATGGAAAAGAAGCGGGTGAAGAAAAGGGAAACGTAACGGAGAGAATATGCGGGGAGGATGAAGTTTGGAGTGAAAAACGCTCAGAAACTAAAATAAGGGGGGTTCCACTTGATGAAGGCATCAGTGGGTGTGACGTCCCGGATGGCCTGGAGCCAGAAGATCCACCGACGGTTTCAGAGGTGTCCGTCTCTCTTGAACCAGAACCAAAGATACAGCTGAAGCTCTTCCGGCGAAGCAAAAAGAGGAGCAATCAAGGTAATCTGTCAATTAAATTCAATAAAGATCACATTTGGAATGCTAGTCTCTCAATGTTTCTTAAAAGGGAGGCCATCTTTTGTGTTTCTTTTATTTCAGTTGATTATTTTAAATATATTTTAAGTTAATTTAAATGAGAATTGCTGCATGAACTTGTGCATTTTAAGGAAAAGTAACAAATTTAGCTGCTAAATGGTTTTACCTCATTGGTCAGTCTGTTTTGAAACCTCTGTTCTCCGTTCTGACTCTCTGAAACACAAGGTGGGAAAAGTGAGAAAGGACACACTAAACATAAATCAGGCTGTGTGTTGCAGTGAGGTAGGTCAAATCGAGCCGGTGCAATCAGGATTATCCTAATGAACTCAATCATCGTCAGAGCTCTGTGCCAATAACACATCATCTGTCGGTCTAACTGGATTCTGGATATTTTTTTTTTCATCTGTCTGTGTCATCTGACCTTTTTTAATGCTTGCTCTCTTTTTAACACTCTAAACTCAGTGGTTGGTCATGCTGAAATCTTTCCTGAAGGTGAATCAAAGCTGGTGCAAACAAAACAAAAAAACTCCGTACTACCATGCAACGCAATGAATCTGGTTCTGATCTCGGACAGCCTTGCAGTGTGAAAGTCGCTGTGACGTTTTGTCGACTGAGTTTTGCCATGAAATCTGTCCCTTTTTGTGTCCTCTGTCCATTTTTAACTGTCCATTTTTCTAAAGCTCCAACTGGGACTGTCAACCAACAGTCTGTGCTTTCTGTAAACTTTGCTCTGTGCACTGAATTCAGTGACGACTAATGTAAATGTATGCTAATGTTTTGTTTCTATTTGTTATCTTACAAAATGCTCTTTTTTTGATAAATTCAAATTAATATATTAAACCATTTTATTTGAAAATATGCATCTTCCCTGTATTCATTTCAATATTTGTTTCCCTTCAGGTGATTCCAGAAAAAGGAAATCAAGAAGAAAAAGAAAATGTTAATTTCATGCTGGATTTCTAAGATGGAGGAACTGTTTTATTTTGTGATTTAAAACGAGAATAATTACTATATAAACTCTCTAAGGACGTTGGAGAAGCCTGCCTTCTACAAAAAAAACCCATGACTAAGAAAAGTTGAAACATCCAGGGCTCTGATTGTTACAACATGGGTGTTAAAGTGTCACTTTATGTAAATCAAAACTTGTTTATATCAATAGTAAGCTGTTCTAAAATATTTTCATTGTGCTTTATATGTTTCTATGTTTGTATATTTTGTAATAATTAGTGAAGTGTGTAAAAGTTCAGTTTACCCAGCAGCTACCAATGAGTAGATGTTAGTCTTAATTTATCCAAAATGTTTTTGTCTTGTTTATATATTTAACAATCTGTAAAGGAAAAAAAATAATTAAATGTAAGTTTTATTCTTGAATATATTTTAATAAAATTGACTGTACTGTTACTTACTTGACCCAAGTGTTCTCCCCCAGGCTTTTTGCTGGGTGCTTCATAATAAAGATTGCCGTGATACACAGTGATGGCCGCATTTATTGATGCAAAGTAAAGATGCAACATAAGGTGTTTTTATCTTGCTGTATGTTGCAAATGCTGAAATAAAAACGTTCATTGCAGTTTGAATTATTTCAAGCATTCATCAGTGCCTTTTCAGAAACATGCAGGACAAGTGGAGATAAATGTACACACCAAGGGCACAAAGGGCAGTTAAGAGACAGCAGGAAGAATCTTGAGCCCTCGAAGGACTCTTGGATGCATGTGCATTTCCAAGCTTTATGGAGAAAGCCGCCACCCTTTATAACCTATCAATGTTATGGTACTTGGACAAGCAAGAAAAATAAAAACGGTTAAACATTTGCTGTGCATTTTGCCCCCATAGGGCAAGTGAGCCTCTCAGCTAATGAGCACTAGACAATCCCTAAAATCGAATATAGATGAATTGACTATATCCAAAAAGTGGGTTTCTGATTTCTGCCTTTACTGAGAGAATAATTCTATTTGTACCTATCTGTCCCCAAGAAAAACCTGATATACCAACTTCTATACAAACCTGATATACAAACCTTTAATCATAGTGTTCACTGACACTCATACAGACCACCAGAGACCTAGGAGAAAATAATTAAAATAGGAGCTATCTAACAACATGAAGTGAGCTTAAAGATCTCACAAGGCACAAATAAAACATGATACATCTTAAAGACATTCAAGGAAAGTCTGGAAAGGGTTATAAAGTCAGTTCTAAGATTCTGTGACTTAAGTGAATCATCACCTACAAAAAGAGGTAAATCTGTAACAGTGGAGAACCTTCTAGGGGTTAAGATTTCCTTGAGAATGCATAAACGGTTTATCCAGGGGATCACCAAATAACACCTTGAGCACTGCAGAGCTGACTTGCCTCAGTTACTCGAACCATACCACTCAAGATGGCTGCATGTTGGAGAAGTTTTATTTGATTTTCCTTTAGGATGGATTAAGTATTTTTGAACAGAATTAATGTTGACTTTTGTGGAAATATTCTGGCAGTTGAGGATACCTAAGATACCAAAAACTCATGTCCAGCAGTGGCTCCAGGGATTTTCCCCTGCAGGTAATGGGAGGTATCCTTTTTTTTCTACATTCTTTCAATGCACACTGATGGAAACAAAAACAGGCCTGCTTACAACTCTTGGATCTGCAAAAGTCAATAAGGTGGATAATGACCATGTGGTCTTCTGCTAATAAATTAAAACAGCAGGTGTATAGAGTATAGTGTAGTGTATAAACTATTACAATCAATTCACAATGAATTCACCAGTGTCATCTGGCAAATAAATGTAAGGGTATTGATGACTACTTCCTTACTTAAATTACATGACCTAAATATTATTTTCCTTTTGTGTGGGTGGGTGGGTGTACCTGTGTAGGCTGCAAAGTGAGGACCATTTTACCAATTTCACCATCACAATGAGGACCAGTTGTTGTAAAGTGAGAAAATGTTGCTGGTCCTCACAAGGTATTTTGCTAATGGTTAGGTTTAAGGCTAAAGTGTAATTTGGGTTAGGGTGAGGTATGAACTGGTAATGGTTAGTTTTAGGGTTAGGGCATAGAAAGGGAAGAAAATTACTGAAAATCAGTGTAAGTCAATGGGAGTCAACACATGGTCTTCATTACATATAGCAGAACAAACAGGTATGTTTGTGTTTTGTTGTTAAATTAAGCAAAATATATATGAAAATTTAGGGAAAAAATAAATTTGTCCCCCACCCCCCCTAAAAAAGTAGCAGTGTTTCATTGAAATTTTAATGTGAAAGCACAAATATGGCTGATTTAGGGATGCATTCATCATGGAAAGCAATCTGCAATGGTTACACCATATGATTGTTCGTCCGATGTGGTATTTTCATTTTGAATATCACAATAGAGATAGAAATAAAAATACTCGGAAATTACAGGACTGCAAATCTCATATAAAATAATGCCAAAAATAAGTAATGTTTCTGGGAGGGATTTGCACAAACCAGCCAGAAAATTGCTGAATTTTTTTTTTTTTAAGTCTTAACTTATTCCAAAAAAAGTGTTAAAAAATGATAAACTGGGCCCAAAGAAGAGGTCAACAAAACAGAATTCAATTCAGGCTTAAACATAAAGAACTCAAGCACAAACTGACCCATCAAACAAGACATGAGGGGAACTTAAATAGTGGCTGATCAGACCACTGTTGACACACAAGGGGGATAACTAACTAACAAAGTGATAAACAAATAAACTTAATTAAACAGATAAATACTGACCAGACACTAAATACTTTACTTTAAATTTTAACTAATTAACAAAATTACACAAACTAAGAATATTTAAACAAATGATAAACAAATTTCCCTTCCCATTACAAATGGTTTGACCCGCTGATTAGCCTGCAACAATCAACTGAGGAAAGCTGGAGCTCATTGCAGCCCTCCACCAGCTGATCCCAAGGAAACTGGCAACTCAAAGAAAAAAGAAATTAATCAATTGCATCTTGACAAAAAAGCAACCTGACAAATAAAGTTAACTAAATGTGTGCACTGTAAAAAGCTAACTTAAATTCAGGCTAATCAAAATATATAAAATGTGCAACTCATTTTGAAAATGAAAAGTGTAAAAGTTACCACACAGCTTCAGAGTGTGACAGCAGGCTGTCACAGTTTCCTTAACAATTAACAGCAAACCTACAGAAAATGTACTACTTAAATGTCATATTTTGATGCATTTAAAAAAAAATGTGAGATGCAATTCATTTTTAATTTCTAATTGGTTTGAGTTGTGTCAGGGAAAATATCACAAAGACCAGATGTTCAAGAATATTAACTTTGATGAAAAAGTAGTATTTTTATTTTTTTATTTATAATAAAAAAAAGAAAAAGTAGTAATCTAAATTCTTCTTGAGGGTGCTATTGGGTGGCTATGACTTTTCTCCTAGCGCCCCTTGGCGCCATGTTTCTACAATCAAACTATTGCAATGGTTTGCTAGGGGCCTGCGATAATTCTTTATGACCTGGATCACCTACAAAAATTGCTGGAATCATGGATTTTCATTTTTAGAACTAATTCTTAAAGGAGTTCAATCATTTTAAAACCTTAAGTTCAAGCACTGATTTACGAAGCAAGACATGATCCATGCCATGCTTTCAAGTTCTAATTCGTTTAATAAAATTGTGATTATGGCCTAGTCAAAGTCTATAATTAACTAGAAAACATTGCAATAAATTAATCAAAAGATATGTATCTGACTCATTACAACTGATTCTTAAATGTCATTTGTTTCAACAAAATTGTTTCTCAAACACCTGATTAATTCAGGAGAGCTTCAGATCATTAAACACGTTTTAGAGATAGGAGGCTTCAGTTGAGATGTAAAAAAATAAGTTAAATCAAGGAGTATTGGGTTTGGAGAAGGTAGAAATAAAAACAGTTATGTATTTATTTATATTCAGTGGAGGAAATGAAAGAAGTATTTGTACTTGATTACTGTACTTAAGTACTTTTTTTGGGTACCTTTACATTATTATGTCAATGTCAAATATTGTACTTTCTACTCTACTACATTTCAAGGAAGCTGCTAGTTTTGTGTTCCTTCTGGTTCAGCTTAGCTTTGTAATCCACTGTTGTTTTTCTTAGTTGAATACAATTTCAACATGAAAGATAACATCCCTTAGGACACCACTAGAATTTGGACACCACTATCTTAGAGATTTCTATGACATTCCACCATTGTGAGAAACTCAGAGCAGATATTTGTAGTTTATAAATTTTATTAAGGCGTTACTTGTTGCCAGGCTTACGGCCATACTGTCCTAAAAATACCTGATCTCGTCTGATCTTGGAAGCTAAGCAAGGTTGGGACTGGTTAGTAGTTGGATGACAGACTGCCTGGGAATATCAGGTGCTGTAAGCTTGGGCTGCTTACAGCACTACTGCTGCTTTGCAACAAGGAGGCTGTGTGTTCGATTCGCAGCCCAGGGTCTTAATCCACGGAGGTTGCATTTTCTCCCTGTGCATGCATTCTTTCTCTGGATACTCCAGCTTCCCCCCACAGTCCAAAAATGAAAACATGACTGATAGGCTAATTGGTTTCTCTAAATATTTTTAGGTGTGAATGGTTGTTTGTACTATTTGTCTATGTGTGGCCCTGCAATTGACTGGTGACCTGTCCAGGGTGCACTCCACAACAAGGGGTGCTGGAGATAGGCACCAGCATCCCTTGTGACCCCAGCCAGAATAAGTGTTTCTGACAATGGATGGATAATTGTTCCCATGTCGCCAAGTTGCATGATGAGTTCTCAAATCAGAGTTAAGTCAGGTTGGGTGGAGGTTTGAAGAGGACCAAAATGCAGCTAAGGTGGTTTCTTACAGCTTTTATAACCAAGGGGGGCAACAGAAGCTTAAATCCAGACCAAAATTAACTCATTACCAAACATTGGAATCAGAACAAAGGAGGACATTTGAGCAGGAGTATAAATGCCAAACAGAAAAATAATGGAGTAATCAACTGATTGGGAGCAGGTGTGGACAAGGGGCTCTAGAAGGGAGCTGTATGTCTGTCATGCAAAGGACTGTGGGAAATCGTGTAACTTATATTGGAAACCAGTGTTGTGCCGATGCCTTTTTTAGGCCCTAATACTGATACCTGGCTGTGTGCAGTATTGGCCGATACCATCTGTTTGAAATTGATCTGTGTGTTAATATATGAAGAACTGCATACTACTTGGATGTAAAATAATTGCGATCGTGGATTTGTCAAAAAGAAAGACTAACACAAAGTGAATCCAGTAGAACTTTTTATTGCCTACCTGGAATGGGTGACAATAGTTGAATAAACTTTTGGCTTTCAAATTGCTATTGGTGGCCTATTTGTTGGTACTCGCCAATACCGATACCACCATTTAGTGCTGCATCCGGGCCGCGCCCGATACTGGTAGATACTACAAGAACACAGACTTAATTTATAAAGAAATAAAAAAAATTTCCACATACAAACAAAAACAAGAAATTTTTAGT